AGCCGCTCCGCGGCATGTGGGATCTTCCCGGACCGGGGCACGAACCCGCGTCCCCTGCATAGGCAGGTGGACGCTCAACCACTGCGCCACCAGGGAAGCCCGCTAGTGAACAACTTTTATCCCTCTTTACACCTTGCGATCCTCATCGTTACAATGGGAACAGTCAGAGCCTCCTCACCAGCTTGGTGTGAGGATTAATGAAATAGCAAAAGTGCAAAGTTTCTGGCGTTGAACCTGCCACATGATAGTTTCTTCAGCAAATGGTAGCCATCATGATTATTTGTATAATGTAGATTTAATTCTCCTTGTTGAAGTCTGAGGATACATCAAGGTACATCACCCCATGAATTTATAAAACATCTCCAAAAGCTTGTTGTTTTTTTAAAATGTTAATCTTATGTTGCTAATATCATGGTGGTTAATTTTAGATTGATATGTTTTTTTATCCTGAATTTCAGAGAGTGACGTTTTGTGACCTCATACCTAATCGTGAGGGTGTGTCCAATTTGGGGCTTGCAGCCATCTGTGAACTATTTGAAATTTAGTAATGCCTGTTGGGCTTTCATAGGTCAAATATTTGAGATATGATTCTCTTGTAGAATAAAGTAGACTGTATTAGAGATTGGCAAACTCTCTACAATTAAGTTTAAAAAAGCATGTCCTTTGGGGGATCCCTTAGAATTTTCCTCATTTGGAATTGTAGCTAGTCTGTTGTGCTGTTTTACAAAGAGAGAGCAAACTCATTAAAAGTTTGCTGGGATATTTCTCAAAAGTTCAAACAGGCTTTGATTTCTTTATCCATTTTGGAAGCTTCAGACTTTTTGAAACCCTTCATTATGGCAATTGATGCAGCTGATACAAGATTGGATGTGATTATAAGAACTTTGAGAACATAAAACATACTGCTTTTCTGAATTTCTGAGAAATTATTACCAAAGGAAAGAACTTGACTTCTGTCCAGAAGGGGTATCTGATTTGTTTGGACTTTGGATAAACTCAAGCCATATATGTTTGGCCAAGAGTTTAATTTGTGGACCGATCACCAAGCTCTGAACAAGACTCGGGCTTCAGAAAGCTACATCAGGGATCTCATGTGATTATTAAACATGCTTCTGGACAGATGAATATTCAGGCCAAATACAACAACAACAAAAATCCTTCTCATCAACAGGGCACTGAGCAACTTGTGGACCTTCATGAAATGGATGTTACTTGGTGATGTTTTGTTTGGATAAAAATGCCGAGCAAGTGAGACAGAGAGCAGAGCAACAACCCGAAGGCAGCTTGCTAGAGGAGCAGGGGCAGCGAGGGGCGGGGGGAACCTCCTTTCTAATCATCTGTTTCCTGATCCTGGCAGCCATGGAGGTTTTCCTCTGTGAAGTGTCCTCTGTAATCACAGGGATGGAGTAGTGATCCATCAGATGACCATGCCACACAGAGGAGCATTCATCCCTGACACAGAATATTTCTTTTTTTAAAAAATATTTATTTATTTATTTATTTTGGCCGTGCCGGGTCTTAGTTGTGGCAGGCGGCATGCAGGCTCTTTAGTTGCGACATTTGGGCTCTTAGTTGTGTCATGCGGGATCTAGTTCCCTGACCAGGGATCGGACCCGGGCCCCCTGCATTGGGAGCGCGGAGTCTTAATTACTGGACCACCAGGGAAGTCCCTGACATAGAATATTTCTAATACCTGCACACTCTTCTCTTCAGGACTCTTTTTAAAAATTGATTGATTGATTGATTGATTGATTGATTGCCATGCTGCGGGGCTTGCAGGATCTTAGTTCCACAACCAGGGATTTGAACCTGGGGCCACGGCAATGAAAGTGCCGAGTCCTAACCACTGGACCACCAGGGAGTCCCAGGACTCTTTCTTTTATGATTCACGTTCTGTTTTTCTAATTATATGGAAGTAGCATCAGATTAGTGGCTAACTAATTTATTTCTTTAACCCTTTGTGGCCTCTCATCGCCTCTCCCACCAAGGACAGATGCTTCCCTTCCCTCTAGTGAGGGCTGGGTGGGGGGAAGCCCTCTCAGGGTTTCCGCAGGCAGTGGGAACGGCTTCAAGGCTTAGGTGGGTACCAGGTGAGGTGCAGCGGGGAGGAGGTGGGGACACTGAAGGTGGATTACTTGGACTGCTGCCGGTATTCCAAGCTGTGCACCCCAAACAAATGAATCTAGAACATTCTGTCTGTTCACTTAACAAATCTTTGACTGGTAGGTGTCAAGCACAATTTACATGTAGACAAATCAGTAAATACATGCTGACAATGGTAATTAGCACCAGGACACGAATAGGGTGCAGTGACAGAGAATATTGGGGGTGGCGATGGGGAGGGTGGGAACCTATTTAGACAAAGTGGTCAAGGATGGCCTCTCTGGTGAGACCCAAAGGATGGAGAGGAGCCAGCTCTCGGAGGGTGGAGAAGGGGCACAGGTGGGGCAAACAACATTGGGAAAGTCTTGAGGTGAGAGAGAGCTCAGGGGATTCGAGGAGCTGAAACGAAGCCAGTATGGCTGGAAAACTGTTGTGAGGGAAGGCTGGTGAGGTTGCAAGATCTAGGGTTGGATTTTATTCTAAGTACAGTAGAAAGCCATGGGGTGGTTTTTAAAGCATGTGTGCCTGTGTACACGTGTGTGTGCAAGTGTGTGCATGTGCGTGTCTGCCATATCATGTGGACACCTGTGAGGAGGTCCCTCGCCAGAACTGGTAGATGTGACCACTTGATGCCTATTCCAGCCGTTGAGGAAACTTCAAAATGTCATTCAAGCATGTGCTTGGCCAGTGGCACAAGATGATTAAAGATGAATTATTAGAGCTATTTCTCCTACTTCCAGGACACTGACAAGACCAGAGTTCCCATATTGGGTAGTATATCCTGATTTTCAACTTCCAGTCTCATTTCAGTGCATTTCTTCACGATGTCCCTTAGAGAGGCATTTCTGTCCCACGCTGAGTCATGCTCCTTTCCCTCCCGCCTCTTTCTTCCTGTCTTGCTTTCCTCCTCCTCTACTTCCTCATCTTCCCCCTGCCCACCTCATCCCATTTCCCCTCTCTTCTCCCTCTGCCTTTCTCATTAAGAGTCAGAGTACCTTGCCAAACTGCAGCTCTTAGATTTCTATTTTCCCAGACAAATTTCTTGGCTGGTCATTTTGGTCCCTGGTTCTCTCCTCTCCTTCCAGGCTAGAGACTTCTCTGGTTCCCCTCACCTCTCCCCTCCCTCAGCCAGCCCAGCCCGAGGTCACTCAGTTTTAGACACGTCAATAGGAAAAAGCTCTCTTGCTCGAGCCCTGTGAAAAGAACATGTGAAGGAATGAACCTCGGTGACATCAGTCCATGGGCATCAGGACCACGGAAGGCAGTTCTTGAAAACCAGATGGAACAGAAGGTATCACTGGGCGGCCTCCCTTCTTGGCTCGCTGCACCCTCTGAGTCAGGATAATGAGAGAACATTCTTAAAACATGACTAAACCACGCTCAGTCCTCAAACAAATTCCTGGATGTGTGTGGAATACGCTCCACCAGCAAGCCCGAGCACAAATGTGCAGGGCGGGCTTGTCAGCACTCTTCTCAAAGTTGCTACCTTTACAAAGCCACCTTCCGAGCCAGTTAGTGTGTGTTCGGTTTTTAAAACGTGAAAAAAAAAAAAAAAAAAAAAAAAAAAAAGCCAGAGACACAGCGGGGTCTCTTACGGCTCCATTTTCATAGTTTTGTATTGTGGTGACTGGGTCTCTATCTTGGGGGATTGGGGGCCCTTGACATCACACATTAGCAGGAAGCAGTTATGGAAAATTCTTTCAGATAGAGAAAAAAGGAACAGGATATTGTCCATTACCAAAATCAAGCAGAGGGAGAGAGTCACAACTAGGGTGCAGTTTGTCCTTTATTTCACCTACACCTGGAGGGGTGTGTGTGTGTGTTTAACACAGGCAGTTTATCTGAGTGGATTTTAAGAAATTAATTTAACTGAAAATGATTAAATTACAAAGAGAGGAAAAAGCGTTTGGTTGGCCTCGTATGGGGTCAGAGGCTGCTGCTAATGCAGTATTTCATCAATTGGCTCATTGCTGTTCTTGAATTGATGTGATTTAGTTTCTCAAATAGCTCTTATCGTGGCGGGCTTGCATTTTGGATACACTGTACAGATGCCTTATAATCATTTCAGTCTGTTTACTTTAAAACTTTAAAAGCAATTAAGCAATTTTAAATATATTCGTGTGTGTGTGTGTGTGTGTGTGTGTACACATCCACAGAGAGATTTTATAAATGTTCGGACAAGGGTTCTAAGTGAACACTATAGGGCAAGTGTTATATTTACACACTGTAGGGCCCTTCATGCATTTCAAAGAGTTTCATGCAGACGAATGTTAAGCTTTTCTCATACCCATTGAATATACCATTATCTCCTTTAATACACTGAAGAAGGCAGAGGACAAAGAGTCTCCCTGTGTCCCTTATCCAAGGCCACACAACTGTTGCTGGAACCGTGGGCTTTCTGAGTGCCAGGCACTCACATGCTGCACATCACAAGTGTTGGAAAACGGTGATGAGTCAGCTTGTTAAAAAGTATGATAATCTACTATGGTGGGGTAGGGTTTTGAGATACTCTGCTTTTTATTTACTTTGATACAGAATAGGGCAAAACAAGTCATAATAATGCTTTTTTCTCATTAAAAAACCTACTGAGGTCAGGGATAAAACAGTAACGCAAGTGTCCACGAGAAAAGGCCAAGCAGCATTCTGGCAGCATCTCAATAGGTATGTGTGCACATAGTTGGCGGTATCTTCATGCCCCGACCTGTCTCAGGCCTCTTCCCCTTTGTCTTTGTTTTCAGAATGTTGTGTCCAGAGTTGAGAAACACAGGCAGAGTTTGATGCAGGGGTTTGGAACCGAGTGCCACCAGCAGGATGATAGATTCTCCTGGTGCCCCGGCCCCCACGGCCCCACCCCCCACCCCCACCATGAGGCAGGGCGGTGCCGTTACGGATTCATTCATCAAACATTTATTAAGCACTTAAGTGCCAAGTTTCGTGCTAGGTTCCACGGACTTAGGGGAATAAGACGCAGTCTTTGTGCTTGTGTGGGAGGAAGGAAAGTAAGACGATGGAGCAAGCCCCACAGCAGAGGAGTGTGTGGGCCTGGGAGACTGGGAGGGGGAGATGGAAAGAAGGAAGCCTCTCACTGCGAGGAATGAAATGCCTCCAAGTGTTGCTAGAGGTCCCACTCAGTGCCGCCTGCTGGTGCGTCAGTCCCTTCTGGCGGAAGCATTTCTCACAGTGCCTCTCACAAGAGCTAGAAGACGTCCCTCAGCTCTCCCCGCCTTCCATCTCTGCCCTTTTCCTCCCTCCCCCACGTTCCTTTCCCTCCCTGTCTTATCAAATTCTGCTTAGGGCAGCTGCACGTGGTGGTCCATCAATACTTATCAAATCGAGCTCACCTGAAAGGTATTCACGTTAAGGTATGAATGAATAATATGGGGGACACCTGGGAGCACGTGCATTTACCAGGCTTCAAAGCCTTAAGGGTAAAGAGCTTCGGCCAGCTACGGAACAAAATTTTCCTTGGTGTGCTGGAGCGCTCCTGGCACCTCTGAATTCCCAGAGGAATTGCCTACTCCTTCTGCACTTAAAGCTGGCCTTGTTTTTCCATTCAGTCTTACGTGTTTTTCCCTCCCTGCCCTCTGTTGTGGCTGCATGATAAGGCAAGGGTGGGAGCCAGATTACTGCTAATCTGAGACCTTTTGGCTTGAACAAGGCTGCAGAAACAACTGCTTTGAAGCGTTTGAGACACCAGTGATGAAAAACAAAGTTGCTGTGAGTGGGACCTACAGATGCTGTCCCCTCCAAATGCACTCACTCGTTTAATTCATTCTTTATGGTTTGCATTTTTCTGGCTTCAGGACAGAACTCGCGTGAGTGCATGAACGGGGAAGACATCGTGGACCGGTACATATAGTGAAATTATATTCCTCATGTTGGGTGGAAGGAAGGAGGAAGCGACCACTAACCTCCACATCATTCTCCCTTGAAGTTTTCCACTAGGATTCTCCCAAGGGCCTTATTTGTACAAAAGTGTCCAGTTGCCAGCGTACTGCTTTTGATTTTATTTGTGTATCCCCATCCAGATGAAGTTGTGTAGGTTCTGTTAAGAATCGTCCCCTTGTAGGAGCCTGGGCAGTAAAGACTGGAAATAAAATGTTTTTCAAACCCCAGCTTAGTTCATTCTGAGGAGTTCATTCTTCTTTTAAACACTATAAGCTTCAATGGAAGTTTCAGAAAGTGGACACCTCTTAATCGGCACTGTCCAGTGGAAATATAATGGGAGCAGAGCCTAAGTAATTTAAGATCTTCTAGTAATCATATTTAGAAAGGTAAAAGCAAACAGGGGAATTTAATTTTAATAATATATATTTAATAATATATTTTATTAAACTCACTATATTAAAACATTGTCATTTCAACATGTGATTGACATAAAAATTATTAATGAGATATTTTACTTTTTTGGTACTAAATACATAAAGTTCAGTGTATATTTTTCAATTCCAGTGCATCTCAATCGGGACTTGTCACATTCCAGGTGTTCATGCAAAGGGTGTGGCTGGCAGTTACCTTATTATACTGTGAAGCTCTTGGTATCTTTTTTTTTTTATTGCAGTATAGTTGATTTACAATGTTGTGTTAGTTTCAGGTGTACAGAAAAGTGATTCATATATATATACAGATTCTTTTCCATTATAGGTATTACAAGGTATTGAATAAACTTCCCTGTTCTATACAGTAGGTCCTTTTTGGTTATCTATTTTTTATTTAGTAGTGTGTATCTGTTAATCCCAAACTCCTAATTTATCCCCC